CCCCAAAACCCCAAAACCCCAAAACCCCTCAATGCAAAGATAATGTGAGAAACTGTAAATTAATTAAATATATTACTATAAAAATTCTAATGCGACGATAATATAGTACAGTACCTGCTTAGTTTATTTATATTTTTACAAACTAAAAATTCTATTCTGAAAGCAAGTACTCATTAATGACTAAGTTAAAGGGGAGAATTCTTACTCATACGCTGACTTAACTAAAAGAACTCTCTGTCCATCATACTGTGTGCTATCTTTTGCAGTTTTGTTAGATATTTTGCATCGATGATCGGCAGAATGCCGGGCGATCTTGGCTTTGGCTGGAAACTCGGTGAAAGAAAAATGCTAGGATTAGATTGGATGTTCATCATCTTTAACTAAGGACCACTACTTCCATTATTTAGTTAAGGCGAACGCATAGACTTAGGTTTTTCAAAATTTACTCTTATATCTTAACTTGCGCTTAAGTTCTGCATTGTCTATCCTAAACTCTCCTCTCTAGGTGAGTAGTTATAAACATCATCTTCTTGAAACCTGCCTGAATCAATTCTGGGGTTATCTGAAAGCATCTACTTAGAGTAGTTTGGAATCTGCTTAATGTTATGTGAGTTATTCATCATCATCTAGTTGCTGCTATGCAGTTGATGCATATGAGTGTCTTTATTCATGATTCCTATGTCTGTGTTAGTATTGTTAGAGATGTCATGATGATTTTGATTGATTATGTATTTCTTGATTTTAGGCTTAGAAGCCATCAAAACATATTCATATGTGGTTATTCCTTTATATTTCAAGTAAATGTGCAAAATTACCAGGTAAGTGTTTAATATGAATGATATCACGTTCATTATGAGAACAAAAGTAACTATACCAATGTAGAATCATAGGAAATCAGGGGTTATAAGTCTGCTTTAGTCGTAAGCTCTTTGAAGTTATGCCTGGACAGCATCCTAATCGAGCCCATATTGCTGAATTAAATATATCTAGAATCCGATCTCAAAAATTAAATTGATTTCGAGAGCCCATATTAATCCCAGAAAATAGCGATAGTTTTTAAATCCTATGCAATTATTTAGGAAGGAGCAGTGATGGTCGAAATCAGCCACACATCTATCGCATCATGCACAGTGTTTACTATTTTTCAAAGAAATAGCCTAACAGAAGCTACAGAAATGCATGTTATCTTTTAGAAATTTTTATGGTTATTCACTTTCCTCATCTCTAATATCTCTATGATAGTTCAATTAAAGCTTATTAAGTTTTGCTTACTCTTGACTCTCTAACATTCTTTATCTGTAATCAATCACCACCTAATCGGTTGGGTCAATGATTGTTGCCGCCAATGTAAATACAATAACTAATCCATACAAAGCAGCATTCAGGCATCTTATAATATACTATAATTATAGTTTATTTAGAAATAGTTAGTGTGTGTTAAAATGAACTTACTCGGGTGCTGATGGCTTTCATAGCGAATACCTCTATCGAGTAGAATATGCCTATTTTTATTGATATAACTACCCATGATATAATTTATAGCCAATCTAAGGGAATGCTAAATCCATTTGTTTTGATCTTCTTCATTATTATATTAAAGCGATCGATATAATTAAATTTAAATAGTTGAATAAACTTTTAATGGGTTGCAGTTAATCACAGAACACAGTCACTCCTGTTAAAAGCCTCAAGCCAGGCTAGACTGATGTCAACAGTGGGAGTCCGCAAAGTAAATAACTAGTTTTTACTAATTAGAGAAGGTTAATAAACTCCTGAGTCGTGATGAGGTTGAGGAGATTTGCAAGAAGTATGGGTTCAAAATTGATGCTTAAAAGATAGATCTCAGTTTCAAGCACTTGGGTGATGATGGAGCGGAAGAGATTGCTTAGTTCATATAGTTTTCAAAGAATATCAAGCATGTCAATTTAAGTATGATTGATCAATATACGAACGACAAGAATTTAATTCCATTTTTTAGAAAGTAACAGCTTAGGCAGAGAAGCAGCGGAACATCTGGGCAGAGCGTTATAACTTAATAAATCACTTGAAATTCTAGAGTTGTGTAAGTTAAACTCACATAAATTTCATTCTCAAATACCCATCATATCTTAAATTGATATTTATATTCCTAATAGAGAGCAATGAACTTGGCTACGAAGGTTCCTTAATACTATTTCAAGCATTAAGGACTAATAATACCACATTAAAAGAACTGAATCTTGAATTCAATTCAATAGGCGAAGATGGAGGTGTAGCTATTTCATAACAGTTGAATGGCATGAAGGGTGGTCTGATTAAGTTATGTCTAGGAAGCAATGATTTGAAGGATAGAGGAGTTTTAGAGCTAATAAAGGTATTAACATCTCAAGGGTCAAAGATTCAAGAAGTAAAGTTGCAATATAATGAGGTCACTGATTCAGCAGGAGATTCCTTGTGCGTATTATTTGAAGGTCTCTTCACTCCTTTGGGGGCCTCAATGAAGAAAACTATGACTTAGAAAGAAAAGGAGAAACTTCTAGCCTAAATACCTATTAAAAGAATAGATCTGTCAATGAACTAGTTCTCTAGCAAACTTGAGATGAGGTTAGAAAAAGCTCTAGAAGCTACTATGCTAAGCTACAAATTATGATATTGATCTAGGTCAAATAATTACTGATATTTTTATGCTAGTTGATATTAGGATAAGGTATACCTTTTCTAAAGCAAGATTTATTGATAGTTTACAGTTTTACTAATTTATTCAGATACTTCACATTTACACTAATCTAATAGTTCTTGGGGTTTTGGGGTTTTGGGGTTTTGGGG